CCATTGTTGTTAATATTAATTACACAGAGTATTTGGTCAACATTAACCTTTTTAGTGGAGACAGAAGTAAAAGATATTAATTTACTTTACATTAATTATTAGTACATTACATTACTTCAACACCAAATAGTGGACCTACACTTTCCTCTCTCTCTTACTCCTAAAATATTTAAAGATAATCTTATTGCTTTGTCTGTCCCTTGCTATGTGCAACTCATTTTGTGCCTTAGCCTTTCTAAATTTGTCCCTACCCACCTGAGGTATTCTTTTGCCCTCTCCATAGTAATTTGTTTCTACTTTTTGTAGAATTCCTTTTTGATGTTTAGGTCATTATATATCTCCTTATTGAATCATGTTATGTCTTCTTATCTTTCTTTCACATCACAAAAATTTGTAGTTTAATGGGGTCGCCTCAAGAAACTGCCAATTCCTTTTCCCTTAGTTTTTATTGCCATTGGACCCTACCTACCAATTCTCTGTCTTTGTTAAAGTCTGTTTTTAAAAGATACATTACAATTTCAAAAAGTGCAAAGCAGGACAGCAAAAATTATTAGGAGTATTGATCTGTTTCCATATGAGGAGAGTATAAAAAGAATGAGAATATTCAGGTTAGAAGAGATGACTCAGAGGGGATATGATAGACATCTATAAAATCGTAACTAGTGCAGAGAAAGTGAATAAGGAAGTGTTAGTTACCCCTTCACATAACACAAGAACCAGAGTCACAAAAAAAGAAAAAATAATAGGCAGCAGGTTTAAAACAAACAAAAGGAGGCACTTCTTTACACAGCGCACTGTCAACCTGTGGAACTCTTTGCCAGTGGATGTTGTGAAGGCTAAAACCATAAGGCTACGTCTACACTGCAGGGTTTTTGCACAAAAACTTGCAGAGGGTCTACACTGCACACGTGTTCTTGCACAAGTAAATTTAAAGTAAATTGTCGGAAAATAGGGCTTCTTGAGCAAGAGTTATTCCTTTCCCCACGAGGAATAAGCCTTCTTGCGCAAGAGCTCTTCCACAAGAAGGCAGTGTGGACTTGTGCAAGAAAGCCCTATGGCTAAAATGGCTATGAGAGCTTTCTTGCACAAGAAAGCATCCACACTGCCATGGACACTCTTGTGCAAAAGCACATCTCTTCCACAAAAGCACATGGCAGTGTGGATGCACTCTTGTGCAAGACCTTTTACACAAGAACTCTTGTGCAAAACAGTTCTTGCGCAAGAAGCCTGCGGTGTAGATATAGCCTAACAGGCTTCAAAAAAGAACTAGATAAGATCCTAGAGGATAGGTCCATCAATGACTATTAAGCAGGATGGG